AGGGTCTTCGATACAACTTGTAGTGTCATTCTTAGAGTTCCGAGGCATGTGATTAGCCCCATGAGGAAGTTCTTTGGTGACAAAGACATCCTTTATGTTACTGATGGTAGTCGTGTAGAAATGCAGAAGGATAGTTGAGCGTTCGGATACTGGGGAGAATGATCTTTGGATGCCTAAAGCCAGAATAGCATTTTTGTCGAGTAAGAGTGTACTAGTGGGGACCAGAAAAGACACCAATAGTGGTGAGTCACCCAACCAACAGTCTTCTTCTTCCCTGACGTGGAGAGATAGTGTTTTGTCTTCGACTGAGCCAGATGTGGTCACCTTTCCAGACGCCTGTTGGACGACGGAGAAAATGTTTTGAAATGACTGACCGGTATAAGTTATCGAAGATTGTAGAACACCGTGTATAGCTGGAGTGCCTAGCTCTTGAGGTGATATTTTAGTTAACAATCGCAGTCGTTCTCTTGGGACTTTTAAAGTGAGGCAAACAACTTCCGGTAAGACCTTCCATCCCTTGAAGAGGGTTGAGCTACAAGCTCGACCGTCGGATCTAGGGCTCAGCTGTAGAACTTGATCAGAATATATTTTCAGCATGTGTAGCTGAACGACAAGCTCCTGGATACTTTTACCGCAGGCCAAAATGTTGGCGTTGTTTCCTAAGTATTGAAAAAGACTGTTCATAACTTTGTCCCAGTTGCAGGTAGGTGCCCGCTCTTTGATAAAATGCAAAAGTAGTGCGTAGCTTCTATGGTGATAGCGTGAGCTTCGTTGCATCTTTCGGGGTAGGTTACGTAAACGTGACATGAGGCGCCCGTCGTCTTTATTTTGAAACATGTTCAGATAGACATCGAAAAGAATTCTGGCCAGATCAACTTCTTCGAAAGAGATAACTGGTCTGTTTGAAGCTCTAAGCGTGTGGTCTGGTACGTAGCGCTTCTATGAGAGCCTGCTGTATATGTAGTCACTAGAAAGTTTGTCTCCGAGCCTGCGCCTCGCGGTGTTTAAAATGGCCTCGTCGGCTGTCGATATTGGAACGACATTTGTCCAGTAATCGGTTGGAAAGATTCCCAGGAGCACAGACATGGTCGAGACATTGCCGCAAAGAAAGCTTTCAGCTAAAGTACTGTGGTCCTTCTCTTGGTTCACCAGAGATTCAGTATACAAAGTTGCAAAGAGATTGTCATCCAGCAACGGCGAAGTAGCAATGAGAAGGTTAATGGCCCCGACGTGATCAACAAGGTTGGACGTGTTAATAACACTAAAAGACATAGGTGCGGTGACAACAGGGAGATAGTCTTCGCTGTTAAGCAAGATGGTCTCGAACGTTCCAGGCTTCCGATACGGACCGACTGCGATTCCCTTCTTTCTTTGCTGCAAGGCATGGCAAAATGCTAGTGCTTCCCCAACAAAGAACCGTAAAACCATTATGCCAGCATGTTTCCTGAAAGACTTGCACCAAGCTTGAAATTGCTGTCGAGCTGCTCGTACCAGGTTGTGCGCCGAAGACTGGAGAAAGGCATGTGCATGTGGGTCTGAGGTGGGCTGTGGAACCAGCGACGCATAGGCTGTGGCCAAGTGGAATCCAAGGAGTGGATCGGTACCGTAGTGAAGTATGGAAGACTTGTTTAGTTGAGATGTGAACATGGGGTTCGGCATAGCTGCGCTGTTCGCATTGGGCTTGTCGGTACTGCCAGTGTCCCAAAAGTGCTTGTGTTGTTTTGCAAGATCTTGAACAGCCTCGCGATTCAAGGGTGCAGCGGACCGCATGCCTGTGAAGACGAACTTTTCCCCGATATAATAGTGCCGGAGGTCCTTTGCTCTCTGGATTCTGGATCTTAGGCGATCAATGTGTGCAACTTTCTGACTGTTGTTCATATTACTGATCAAAAGATTGCTCCAAATCTTTTTCACTTCGGAAAAAACTACTGCTGTCGCAAAAGCGGAGACGCTTGCCGTAGTTGCTGGCATGCCAGCTCTCCAAAGAATCCGAGACTGCCAGGAGTCTTGTAGTTTGACTTTCGAGAAGGGCCAGTGCTTTGGGGCCGATGAATAAGTGGTAGTAGATGTCCCAAATGTCCTTGATACGGTTTCCACCGTAGTCGAGAATGAGGGTGAACAGAAGGATGTTACGTGCTGGAGAGGTTTTGTCAGTAACAACAAGCACACGTAGTTTTTTCATGTATACTAATGACCAAGCTTTCTATATCGCAGCAGGTGATATCCATCGGGCTCGTACCTATTACTGTGAGTGAGTTTCTTGACCAAGGCTTACATCGACGAACTCACTTCCAGCGACGTGCGTTGTGTAGAGTATGTTGCGCGCATCTCCACATCCCAGGGACAACACATTGGCCTTCGTTTCGCGAGGAATGTCCCGGGTCAAGGATACAGCGGGGGTGTTGCCGATAGGATAAAAGAAGGTGAGAAGGTCCATGTGGGCCGTGTTCGCCATGGCGCGAAGAAGCGATGCGTTTCGGGTAATGGAACTTTGAGAATTGGGTCGAGAACTCTTTAACGGATTGTTATTCGTACTTGGCTGCGGTTTTGGCAGCGGCTTTTGGTGCGAGCTCGAGAAGACGCGCCGCGAGATTGGCGGCGGCTGTTCGTGCAGGCTTGCGAAGATGCGTCGCAGCACGAAACGTGACATTGTCGGTAATGATATAGCAGCTAAGCTGCGTATCCGGCAAGCTTTTCCTGGATTCACTTTCGTTGTTAGAGGCGGCGGATGAGTGCTTGTAAGAAGGGGATAGTGCGCGTGCGGCGGGCTAGCGTTATTGTCTTGTGGCGGTGGTGGCGGTGCGGGACAAACGCTAACTACCACAACGACGACGCGTTGCCCCTCCAAACAAGCCGACCGCCAACGCAAACTTTCTTTTCTCTCTCACATTGCCTGTGCGACTATGCCTACGACATAGCTAGTCATTATAAGTGCGGGGTGCGTTACCCAGGTCCTTTCACACGCACAGTTGCTAACACGATACGCAGGTTAAGCGTATTGCCGTGCAACACCTGGCATCCAAGTAAGCCGCGACAGGGAAAAGCTAGCTGCTTAACACATTACTAGAATAGGTGCAGGTGCGATCCGCGTAAGGTAGCAATTCAAGTGCGTCTTACTGTCGGTACCAGACGAAGCAAATAAGCATTGCCAACCTGAGTTTAGGCAACCACGAACGTGATCCTACAGATTTTTTTTCGAGAACCAGCAACAGGATTATTGCGGCTTACAAATGCAAGAGCGATAAAGAGATATCAGGCAAAGACGATTACTGACCGTGAAAGAAACTGCCAATATCAGGTAAACAACACTTACGAGAGGTGCGTGGGTATGGCAAAAGAAGTACAACTGTTTAGTAACAGACCTCGGTCAGCAGAGAGCCACCCACTCAGGTAAACCTGAGCGATCGTAACTCTAAGCCAACTGTTGGGTTGTAGGTGTGAAACCGTACGAGTAAAGGGAGAACGCGGCTTGATTTTGAAAGAGTGTCTGGCAGCGAGCTTTATATACATAAAGGAGTAGAGTAGTCATATCCTCGCTTATGTAAGATATCAGGGTGTTGAAATAACGAAAAAGTAAAGTGAATATAGAGGGTAATGCATGAATAAACATGGCCTGATAGTCCAACAAGTTGTTTAGGTATGCGACGTGTGGATCGCTAATCCCAATAAGCTTAGAGACCCCAAGAATATCTCTTAGCTACGAGGCTGCAACGTAAAATTAGTCAGCTGTTGTATATTTGGCCCTATTACTAGTCGGGTATGGCGTTAAGGTTGAGTGTAATGGTCATGTATTGTGAGAACCGAGAGGTGCCTGCGGCCAGATAAAATGGCCGCGTTTTTGGTACAAAAAAGGCCATATTCGGTCGCTCCAGCGACACACGGTGGTCGCCTGCGTGCCCGCTTATTTGCGCGTTCGCCAGCCTGCGCGCTTGCGCGTCCGCCCGCTTAAACGCGTGTCCATGGAGCGACAACCGCTGGCGCCCAGTTGATACCTGCTCCACCCACTGATTTGTATGCTCAATTGTTTGTCAGTTTGACGATTTCCGACATGTCGTTTAAGCTGCTGGTGTCGTCCACATAGAGACTTAATAATGGCTACTTTGCTGCGTTTCTGGGGCCTAATTGTCTATCCTGCGACGCTTGTTGCCCTCCTCTTGACTTTCTGCCGCCGCTGCTACTGCCTGCCTATATGCCTGCTGTGAGTGCTGTGTTGATTTCTGTGAGCAGCTCACTGGTGATGGAGCACGCGGTCGTGTGTGGTTGTACCCGGGAGAGTAGTAGGGCGTCTGAGAAGGTGTTTGTGCCGGTAGAGAAGGTAGAGAGGGTAGAGAGCTGCTGATTGAGAGGTCCTGCGAATCCCTAAATGATGGAGGCGCTGGGATAGAGTTGCTGAACTACGCCTGACGCAGTATCCCGTGTAGTTGAGGCTGCTGAGGCAACTGAGGCCACTGAAGGTGAGGTTGAGGTTCCGGTGACAGAGTCCTGCCGTATAGCTTAATGTTTTCAAGCAGCTGCGCATAAACCTCACTCTGGCAGCCTCGGTGATAGGCAAGGTTTTCTTCTTCGTCGGCAATGAGAGCCGCAACGTCGATATCAGTGGTGTCGTTAAGTCAGTGTTATGAGTGGGTAAGGTCTCGCTCTTGCGCCTCCAGTAACCTCAATCTGCTGAGTCCTCCGCTCGCTATACTGCTGAAGAGACGCTTGGCGTTGAAACTCTGCCTTTGTCTTTTGTAGCTTCAACAGCTTAGCTCGTCAGCATAGCACGAGTCGGTTCATGTAGGTGTAGATGAAGCTGTCGAGGTTCATGCCGCCGAGAGACGTTCTGTAGCCATTTATGATCTAGTTAATCGCTGAAAATGAGCACTCAGAGGACACTGAATGGGCGATAGTTGACTGCAGTCAAATAGGAAGCTTTTAGAGGTGATGAGAGTGAATTGCGTAGCCCTAGAAGGCCTGCCATTTACGTCCTCTACCAGTTTCCAGTTATGCTGCTCGAAGGGCCCTCCGCGATCATCGATGCTTGAAGTTAGTTAACTCGCGGTGAAAGGCCATCAAGTCGTCCGCTGGGACTTACTGTTCGAAGAAAGTGTTCATGGCCGCAACACCCTCTGCGTCGAACCTCAGAGAGGCGCTCTCGTCAGTACAATCAAACGCCTTCGCGTCCCAATGAATAGGTGTGATCTGGGCGTCGAAGCGAAGCTTCTAGAGGTCGAGAACCTCCTCAATATTAGCGTGGGGGTGCTCGCCAATCACTAATTAAAGCTCTAGCTCACGCAAATGATGCGTAATTTTATCCAGCGGGTCGATCACCTTCGAGAGTGTTGAGATGTTGGATTCAGAGGCCACCTAGATCTCATAAATGACGCCTAACAGCTTATCCAGCCCGTGAACCTTTAGCCAGAACGACGAGTCTTGCAACAGCTGCTTTACGCGTTCAGCACCTCTCACTTCCTGGTCGCTCTTGAGGTCGCTAAACGCTCGCTAATCGACTGTAAGCTGCTTTGACGACGCCATTATCTTAATTAGGCTCTCTACCATGCCCTTGAACGTCCCTTAGTTAGCGGGCGAAGCAGCCGATAACAAGCGTGTAAGCTCTTTAGTCGTTTCTCTTGTAAATATCCTTCAATATTTGACATATAGCCAATGCGCAGAGACGGGCCGAACCTTAATGAGTGATCATCCATCTGATAACCCAATCTCAACGTTAGCCAAGCTAACAGGCGGCCCGATGAGCGTTTTATCTGATGGGTGGACGGGAAAAAGCGGACTCTGCAGAGGCGAAAGAGGTGGAAGTATCGTGACGTGTTGAGAGAGGCAACCGAGGCGAGGTGCAGGGTGTCACAGAAAACACGCGCCCGCGACCGTTCGTTTCCCTACCAACCCTCCGCTCCGCTCCGCCTCACTTGCAATCTCACGTCTCCGCAGCCAGCAACCTCAACTCATAGACACGCTACGCTACCTTCGCGCCTCCGACCATGTCCTCCATCGAAGCATGGCTGTGCGACGTTGGCGACGCCCACCGTGATCTTCCCTGTCCCTTAACCCGCGCCCGCATGAGCCACGTCAAGGCGCATCCGGGGCCTGTCTCGCCACCAGAAACCGCAGCACCATGTGAAAAAGGCCTGGCGACAAGCTTTCCCCAGCGGGAGGGGGCTCTCAAGCGACGCTATTCCGAACTGACCGAGGCCGACGACTACGGCGACAACGGCGACGACATGTCCTCGCCTCCGAAGCGGCCCAGGCAGGACGACCAGGCCTCCCTGAACAGCGCCTATACCGAACTCAGGAATCTGCCGTCGCTGGTCTCCTCGACCGCAAAGTCTCGCGCGAACAGCCTGACGCGCATCGATCGCGCGACGTATGCGTACGCTAGACCGCCGCTGCGGTTCAAGACGCGGCCGGACCACAAGACGCCGCAGGAGGTGCTGAGCCTCATGAAGGAGCTGCCACTCGCCGGCATTGGAATTATACCAGGGACGCTCAAGGTAGGTTGTTCGAGCCGCGCGAATTTGCTGAAAGAGAACGAGGGTTGACGAAGGCCTTCGGACAGGAAACCATCGCCGCGGCGTTTCCCTTCGACCTGACTCCTGAGTACGCCTTTGATTTGAGCGCGTCGAACAATTCAGACCGTGACAAATATCTGTGGGAGATGGTACGGAAATTTCTTGACAAGGCGCACAAGAGCTTCGAGGGCGAGCCGGAGGCGACGTGGCAAACGCTGGCATCGGGCCTGCTAGGGGAAGTACTCTCCCAACTGGAGTTTGAGGGCATGTTTGAGGTCAAGAACGTGTACGTCTTTTACGTCGCATAATCCGTTATCATCTCGCAATTCTTACGCACACGCGCAGACAATACTCCGACTACAACAGCCCCGAGCTCCTCCCAACCGTCGAAGGCCGCACGATCCCCACCAAGAAAGTCGACCTCGCCATCGCCGTGTCCGCTGACACGCCCATAACAGCCCCAATCTACGATGCCCTGTACCTATCACATCCCGCCGTGCCACTGAGCCAGATGGCCGACGCAAGCGTGCGAAGGTTGGCCCTGCCCTGCTGCGTTGAGGTGGGCGAGCCGGGCAAAAGCTACCTCGAAGCCAGCTTGCAGGTCGGCATTTGGAGCTTCGCGGGCATAGCGAAGCTACTCGCGTCCAACGGCACGCCGATCGATCGCAAGGGAACACCGAGGGTTGTCGAAGACAACCTGAACATGCCGCTCATAGGCTTGACGGCCATCGGCATGGACTGGAAGCTGCACATCTCGTACCGGGATATGACCACCGGAGGTGTTGCTGTGCTTGGGCCGGTGGATGTGGGTGGTTTCAGCGATGTATTTTCTACTTTCAAGCTAATTAGGACTGTGGCTACTGTTGGGAGATGGGCGAAGGACGAGTTTTGGCCGGCATTTCAGGGAGTTATGAATTCTTCGGATGACTGAATGGTGGTTTAGGTGTCTCCAGTGATTGTCGCACTTGAATGAGTCTCAGAAGCTGTCGTGCACTTCGATGCAGAGTCGCGAAAGCTTGAACAGTTCTCACTTCTTTCCACCTGCCTTGTTGATGCTCACCGCAGAGCTGAGAATTGCGGTCTCTGCCATCGCTCTTTAGCTTTGGGAGTATACGATGCAGCGCCGATCGACCTACCTAATAAGGATGAAAGACCAAGTCCGTTGCACGCCGGTGCGATGCTAGTACGGGACGGACCGATTGGCACTTTGTTGCAGGTTATCAGGCGCATGCAGAAGGTTTGTAAGGGAGAAAGCCCTTCACGGGGATTTGATCTCCAGCACGGTAAGACTCTGTGTTGGATTGTGTGTGTGAAGTCGTGCGAGTGAAGAGAGAACGCTGCTTGATATTGAAAGACTCTGGCAGCGAGCTTTATATACGCGAAGGAATAGAGCAGTCATGTGCTCGCCTGAAGAATGTAGCAGGGGGTTGAAACAGCGGTAAAGCAAAGCGAATATAGAGAATAATGCATGTAGAAAAGTAGCCTGATAGATGGCAGATAGCCTGATAGCCCAAAATTATGCGATCGGCCATCAATGGCATAATGATTGCTACCATTTCACGCTATGCTTACAGGGATAGCCGTTCAAGCCCGCTCAGTATTCTGCGCCCATCCTCTAACTTAGCAATGCGATCCTCTAAGAATGCCCTCTGTCTTTTAGCAGCTCCAGGCTCTGCTGCAATAGCCGTGACCGCTTGATCCGAAAGTGCATTGACCACTACCGGCGAGAAAATCTTTTCCAGGCCCCTTAAAAGATGGCGTTCGATGACTTGTGTGGTAACGTTCGCGATAAAGGTCTTTTGGGAAACCTGCATTTGTTAGATATATAATCTAGAAGAATCAATTTTTGAGTTATACTAACCTTATAAATCGTAACAAGGCAGTCCAGAGCTTCTTCACAGCTGCGTTTCTCCATGTCAGGATCAGTCATTCTCGTAAACTCCTTTACGGCCTTGTCAATATTAACGGTCGTGGAGATGTGATCCGAAGTGCAATCCGCGACCCGGCGACGAATAATAGCTGCTTTAACGCATTGAGCCAATGCCTTCCCTTCTCTTTCCTTGCGATACTTGCTCATCGTATCAGTGTAGTAGTGATTGTAGTTGATGGGGTAGCTCTTCTGGTCTTCTATGATGAGTTTAAGTTCTCTCTCTGCAGCTTTGTATTTTGTCTCAAGCGCGGCCTGTATGTGAGACGTCCACAGACGGGAGTAAATGTGTTTTGGATACTTCTCAAGGAGCAACTTATGGAGGAAGTTAGAGCACATTGCTGCGACCTCTTTTACATGTTCTGCTGCAAGGTGTTCCCACTTGCTTGATTGTTGCCAGAACAGCTCACCCACAATGAGGGGGTTGAAATTGCCTTGGAGTTCCCGTCCGCGATTTTGAGTCAAGACACGACCCACCCATGCGATAGCCTGTGAGCGTTGCAGAACTTTTGGGGACTTTGTGGGGAAAGTCGTGGCTGCTAGCTGAAGAGCGGCAAGAGAGGGGTCGATTGAGTCTTCCTCACCTGGTTTTGCAAAGTAATATGTGTGACCTTTTGTACGGATAGTTGTGGTGAACTTGGCGTTCACGGACTGGACCATGGCACGTAGCCTGTGGAGGTCACTCGGTGAACTCGCATGAAAGGCCTGGTCCATGCCACGGTTGAAGTAATCTCCCTCATAATGGCCATCCACAGCAGCTTTACAGACCAGAAAGACGTCGAGAGAAAGCTGCATCAGATAGTCCCTACACTCCTGAGGGGTTGCTCGCCGCTTTCCCATGATTTTCAACTGTTCTTGAGTCTCAGAGAACTTGTTGCTGACGTCGGCCTGCACATCTGGAAGCTGTCGCTTAACATGCTCGAACAGCAACGCGCTCAAACGTTCCACTAACGACTCGACACCGATGCAGTCTTTAGGCAAATGGCTCCAGTTTGAATTCGCAAAGAACAATGCCTCGGATGCTTTGCGTTCTGTAAATGAATAGGATCGCTCCTCATAGCTGCGGTTCTTCAGAACATGCCAGCCTAAGCCGAGGGAAATGTCATGATTAAGCGCCAAGCCTATAAAGGCACTCTCGCTCCCAGAGCCAGCAGGAAGTCGATCAGGCTTTGTAATAATCCCAAGCGTACGGTCTCCTTGCGGATCGACGTTCCTTACTTTCGAGAGGATGCCTTGGTTCGCGTAGTCGTTCGTAGCGGAGATTACTGCCAAACAAACCGTCCGAGGTTGAGAGATATATCGATCTGTGATCTCCGCCACAAGTGCAATATCGGTTGCAGTGACCCCTTTGCTCTCGTTTTGGATCAAGCCAGGAAGGTCGACCAGGATCAACTGGGGCCTCGACGGCCCTTCTATCTCGACGCTGAGCGTATCCCTGGAAAACGCTTGTCCTGCATGGCCATCTTCGTCGATCCCCATCACGGACATGGCCTTATCCATGATTTTAGGGAGCTCTTCAAAGTTTGTAATGGACGCTTGAAAGGCTCTGATGGACTCTTTATCCTTTTCTGTGCGTGTGATGTCTGGGATCACCTTGATTGTGATTGATTCGACCTCTGCACGTCGCAAGATTATCTCGGTCGCAAACCGTGTACAGAGGTTGTCGTTCCTTGGAAAAGGTATCTCTGTGATGGCTTCTAAAACCGAGCTTTTGCCAGCAGATTGGTCCCCGCACACAACAATCTGCGGGATAGAAAGGACATCTTCTAAACCGCACTTTCGCATCTGAGCAATGGCGTCGAGCACACGGCGCTGCTCATCGCTTTGGAGTGACTCCAGGGATGTGGTGTTGAATTGCATATCTCCATCCTGCGGATCAAGGTAATTCCATAAACCTGCATCATGTTAGAAATGATCTGAACACCGAAATTCTTTTTTTTTTTTTTTTCTGGTACAGTACCTTGAATACGTTTTTGTCCGACCATAACTGAAACCCCGTAGTTGCTAAGGGATTGCAGAAAAAGGATATGAGATTATCGAAAATTGGTGCGAAGAATCCTTCGTGCCAAATGTTAGAAGCTTCGGACTATTTTACTGTTATTCGTGCAAGTATCTCTCGATTTAGGAGCCCTTTATAGGAAGGCTCCAATGGGTTTTAGAATTTGAGTAGAAATTGAAGGCCACGGAACAACATGTGTGGAATGATTGCCAGAATCATTCCGGGATGTCTACGCAAGGGCTTACGGCTCTTAGCATGGCTTACCAATCTTCGATGCAAGGTAAGTCTGTTTTTTTGATAATTCTCATGCAAGTTGAAATATTTATGCTGTTAGGCACGGAGGCGTAAGCGCGAGAATGTGTCTCATGGTCGGGAGTGGGGCCGCGGGCTAAACAGATTCCATAAATTCATTTTTCAATGTTGTCTACACTCAGTTTTCTGACTATGTTATACAATTTTCTCTGTTAATTTCTACGACCCAAAAATATATGTGGAGTAGGGGGTTGGCAAGATTATTACACTATAGATATGCGTAAATCAGCGGTAAGGATTTACGTTTAAACTCTAGTTCTTACAGAATATATGTTGTTGTTTGTCAACTAGTATTGCTCAAACTACACAAGATCCTGGCCCTACAGTTTGCTAGTATAGAAAGTCCTATTCCACCACCTCTCTCTACCAAATAGAAGAATTAACACTGCCTGAGAATATACGTGTTCTTCTAGATAACACAACATATACAACGGCAGCTTAAGAAAACTAAGAGGGACAAGAAACTTCTATTTCCTCACGCTAACGCAAGTATTTATAAATGAGAATATTAGTTAACTATGATCGGCCTCCATTTTATTTTCTTCCAATCTCCTTCATCAGAGTACTGTTGCACCGATTAGGCGTTGCATACAATTAGTCGTCTAAACACGTGTTTTAGACGTCTATTCGCACCGAATAGGCGCGCATAAGTGTTGCGTGCATATTCCACTGTTTTAGTCGTCTATTTCGGTGTTGTGGGCCGAAGTGGGGTGATATCTCGCCTCAGGACTGACTCAACCCCCTGAAGCGATCCTTGTCCCCATCATATAAATGTATCAACACCGACCCGCGCCTGCAGCGGTGCGTAGGCCCGCCTGTTTATGAGGCCTGGTTCAACTGTGAAAAAGCAAAAGACTGAACACGCGTTCATGCATCGTAGGAGGCCATTTTTCGCCCATAAAACGGGCTTGAGAATGCACCAGCAGGTCAGTAAGCTTCAACGAATTCTTCAGTTGACCAAGCACTTATCCACTTCAATCAAATCATGTCTTCTCCATCCCCCGCCAACCCCGCGCGCGCTGCTAAGCGCCCTGCTACTGCTGAGCATGCTCCCGCCCGTGCTGCTGCTAAGGATGAGGCTCTTACAGTCGATATTGTTGAGCCACTTCCTCCACGTCCTTTCAACCCTAATCGAGCACTCACTGCGTTCAGTAAGGCTGCCAAGACCTCCTTCAACGCGTATATTGAATCTGCCCCTGATAGGATACATTTCAGTGATCAAAAATATCATAGCTACTGCTTACGGCTCCTTGGCACGCATGAAGCCACACGGAGCTCTAAGCGTAACACGATGAATAACTTCATCTACTACCTAGAGGGTTCAGGCAAATCAGGCCTCTACAAAAAAGGGACACCCCGCTACCCTGCTGAACGAAAGGTGTTGAAGACTTATGAGGCATTCAACGCCATCCGAGACGCCCATTTAAGTAGTAATAGGCATTCAGGTACGTATTCTGCAGTAGTTATAAATATTTATACACTGACGTGTTGTAGCTCAACTTACGACGTTTAAGGACCTCCAACAGAACTATTACGGAGTCACTGAAAAGGACGTTGAAAAGCTACTGCGTCTCTGTCGTGTTTGTGCAGCAGCAAGGCACCCTCCTCCTGCCCCGCGGGCCCTGCGGGCGATCCTCTCAAGAGAGATATTCGAGCGGGTGCAGATGGATCTAATTGATTACCGGAACCACCCTAATCCAGTTACGCAGGACAAATACGTGCTACATATGAGGGATCACTACTCCAAATACTGCATATTAATACCTCTAAAAGATAAGACAGCGAGGACAGTAGCCGCCGGGATACTCCGTTGGATCCAGGCCTTCGGTGTGCCTCATAGGATACAAACAGATAACGGCACTGAGTTTGTAAGCGCTGCTACTCAACAGCTGTTCAACGATTTCGGCATTGATACGTGTACTGGCCGGCCCAGGCACCCAGAGTCCCAAGGAGGTGTTGAAAAGGCTAATGGGCACGTAAAAGAGAAGATAGAGAGGGTCCGCGTCGCCCATGGCCATCCCGGCTTCGCCCATGCCTGCCTAGACGTTACACTACAACAGAACAACTACAGGCGGCACGCAACAGGGGCTTCACCTTATAAAATACTCTTCGGTCGCCAGATGTGGGGTCCGGGGCGTGCTCGCTTGGTGCCTCCTAAACTGCGTGTAGGTGCTCCTCTACGCCAGATCGCTGTGCTAGATGATATTGTAGAGGATACAGATGCGACAGGAGAGGCAGAGAGTACTGCGGAGGAGGACGAGGATAAGGACGCAGATGAGGATGCGGAGGACGAGCGCAGTAGGGCCCGCGGGAGTACCCGCGGGAGTGCCCGCGGGCGAGCGAACGAGGCGGGCGAAGGTTCGCAAACGAGTGCTGGCCTGCGTGCGAACGAGCGAGCGAACGAGCGACCAGCAGAGCGCGCTGCGGAAGCTGCGGAGGTTACAGTAGGTCCGACAGGAGACCCGTCGGGTACCCGCAGTTCTAATTTACCACCAAAACCCCGCCAAATATCGTCCTCCGAAGAAGACCCGTACCACTCTTCATCTTCGTCGGACCTGCCGCTACCTTCGACGCTCATGCCGCCTCGCGTACGAACAACTACTGTTAAAACGATCGATCTAACGCATAATACCCCGCCGCGGGCCGCTCCACGTACCTCACAACAGTCCCCTCCGCGTGCCCCGCTGCCCCGCGGGGCCCCGCTACCTCGTAGTACTTCACTGCCTTCACAGCGAGTACTGCCTCCGCCACCGTCACTTACTCCTTGCGCTGCCCGTCTCCCTCCGCCGCCCGCAGAACTGGAGCTGCAGCAACATCCTAATGCTCCTGAGTGGTGGCGAAGCAACATGGCGAGATTTGCCTACGCACAAAGAGAGATAGCAGCGTCCAGGGAGAAGCAACTACAGGAGGCGGCTCTACGCGCTCTACGACTACAGGTGGAGCAGGCGAGGAGGGCAGAGCGAGCGGGGCGTGTTGAACGTATGGAGCAACCCGCTGAGCAACCCGCTGAGCAACCCGCTGAGCAACCCGCTGAGCAACCCCCTGAGCAACCCCCTGAGCCACCTGCGGAGCAACCCGCGGAGCAACCTCCGCATGTTCAACACGCGGCTAGTGAGCCTCTACTTTCGCAATCACGTGTGTGGGACCGCACTGAGCTTGATGAGGACGTTCGAACCCACTTAGACGTTTCTCGTGAACGAATGGAGAGACAGTTCAACAAGAACCTCCCTCCGCAGCGCTCATTCAGTGTTGATAACGTTGTAGCAGTAGCAGTGCCTCCTGAGGACCGCCAGGGCTCGCTGCCGTCCGTGATTGGTGTGATCCATGAGATAATAGGAGACGAATCAAGCCGTGGGTACCGTGTAAAGACTCCTTACGGCATCATCAGTCGGCCTATTGCCCCGCATCTACTACGACTACTGGATAACTCGCAGGGCCCTGATCAGCAGCAGCTTGATACACCCGAAGCAAACAGTACTGTTACACTACGTAGTGTAGCCCGCCAGTCAGGTGCCTCAATGGGGTTGATCAGTGCTCGCTGCGGGTGCAGAGGGGCGTGTGCTAACAATAAGTGTGCTTGCCACAAGGCAGGGACCGAATGTAGCGGAAGTTGCCATGAGGGTACCCCGTGTTCGAATCAACCGCAGGGCGAGTCCTCTGTAGCGCGCAGGCGTAGCGGGCGTAGCAGGCGTGGCAGGCGTAGCGGGCGTAGCGGGCGTGGCGGGCGTGGAGGAGGGCCCTCTGCAGAGGCATCTGCTACTGCAGAGGCATCTGTTACTGCAGAGGGACGCGGAGGACGCGGAGGACGCGGTGGGCGCGGGAGACGAGGCAATGGGGCGCCCCGGGGCGGTGGCACTACGCGCGCAGGGCGAGTTAGCAGGCCTACTTCGCGCTTGCTCGGTGAGGATTGAGATACTACCTACGTAGGTATTTTTTAAATGGTGTTGTTACTGTTCTCCGCCTGCGCCCGCAAAATTTAGGTGAGACGGGCGGAGAACATGAATCAGAGCTGACTCGCTGGAACGCACGGTGGTACTACTAAATCTGATACGAGCTACTGCAACTACCCCTGATTATGCGCGCACAACACCGAATAGACGACTAAAACAGTGGAATATGCACGCAACACTTATGCGCGCCTATTCGGTGCGAATAGACGTCTAAAACACGTGTTTAGACGACTAATTGTATGCAACGCCTAATCGGTGCAACATCCCTAAAACTTAGTAGCCTAATCCCGTACTAAGAAACCGAAACGATAGACATCTACCTACCTCCTCCCTAGCAACCACTCCCGGTAGAGATTAAGACAATACTACCCCCGGATAAAGATAAAGTATTCCTAAGTTACGCGGAAAAGAGGGACCCGCTCTCCTAGATCTACACAGATACTTCTAAGATAAACAACTAGCTAGGAGCAGCAGCAGTCATTCTAGACTAAGCCGGGAACGCCCGATATAGTACGCTTAAAGGAGTTAGATCTAGTAATTTCTACACAGTATAAGCAGCCGAACTAATTACTATTCTAACGGGGATAGAGCTAGCAGCTAAAAAACACCTACAAGAGGGACCCCAAAGCCCAACCGAATACGTTATCTACAGCGATTCTAAAGCCGCCCTCTAAGCTCTAACTAGAAGATATAAAAAGAGATCAGGCTAAAGTATCGTACGGTCTATCCTCAGTACAGCCCAATCTCTCCATAAAGGTCTCCAAATAAGTTTCACGATCCAGTAGATCCCAAGCCACTACGGTATCTAAGGAAATAAGGAAGCAGACAAGCTAGCTAAACAAGCCACAACACGTCTTAGAGAACACAACTTCCTACTCTTAATACCGCTGCAAGTCAAAACAACTCTCGAAGCAGCATATAAGCAATAGAATAAAGAATAGAGAGCGTTAGAGAAAGGCCAACACCTCCGTAACGTAGATACAGCGATTCCTAGACCACACGTAAGGCACCTCTACGACAAGCTCCTACGTAGCCTAGCAGGGCTACTAGCCCAGTTAAGAACTAGCCACTACTAGCTTAACCAGTACCGAAAACGAATAGGACGGATAAACAACGACAAATACGAATACGAGGATATAGAATTAATATCCCACGTATTACTAGACTATTCCCTACTCTAGGAAAATCGGTAAAAAATATATCAAGAAACCGGACTCCAGAGAAACTACCTCTCTAGCCTCCTAGGCGGTAAACCAATAGAAAAGAACCAGCCTCATACGGAAAAGATAAAATAGACAATTTCGGCCGCACAGCTCAAAAGGGTACTTAAATTCGCTCAATAAACAAAAAGATTCCAGAGTAGAGACGACATCAACCAGTAAAACCCCATCTTATTACCATTCTTCTACCTTTCCTTATCCTATCTCTGTTCCCCTTTCTCCTTATACTCTCAGATTAAATCACTAGTGTAAATTCCTAGCGTATTCCTTTAAATAGTCTATAGCCTGCATATCGCTCAGGGCGATAGGTCAGGGTAAATAAAT